AGATGTGTATAAGAGACAGTACCTAGCGCGATGACATTTTATGTCTATTTCAAGCCTGTAAAAGCGTTTTTAAATCCGTTCAATCGTTTCGGTGTTATCCATTAGAATGCAAATGTCGGTAATTCCCGACCTTTCAGCATTCTCTTAATATGTAGAAGTGTAGGTAAAGAAGGTTTTGTGTCGAAACGTATTAATGTTTTTTTTATAGAAACGTTTTAGTTAAGAATTTTTTTATTATTACAACCAAATTGTTTTAATTGCTAGTTGCTTGTCCTTTTTTTTAATTATTTTTTTTTAATTTTCAATATTTTTGTTCTTTAAGAAACACATTTTTTTGTCCATTAAAAGATTTTATTGGTAAAAAAGACGAGAAACAATTTTAATTGCTCATTTGGCTTTTTTTTAAAATATTTTTTAAAATGTTCAATATTTTTGTTCTTAAAAAAACACATTTTTTTTAGTCCATTAAAAGATTTTATTGGTAAAAAAAGACGAGAAAAATTTTAATTGCTTTTTTTGGCCTTTTTTGAAATATTAAAATTTTTAATATTTTTGTTTGTTCAAAAACACATTTTTTTTGTCCATTAAAAGATTTTATTGATAAAAAAGACGAGAAACAATTTTAATTGCTCATTTGGCTTTTTTTTAATACTTTTTAAATTTTCAATATTTTTCTTCTTAAAGAAACACATTTTTTTTGTCCATTATAAGATTTTATTGGTAAAAAGGACGAGAAATAATTTTAATTGCTTTTTGGCCTTTTTTTTAATATTTTTAAAATTTTTAATATTTTTGTTTGTTCAAAAACACATTTTTTTTGTCCATTAAAAGATTTTAATGGTAAAAAAAACGAGAAACAATTTTAATTGCTCATTTGGCTTTTTTTTAAATATTTTTTAAGTTTTCAATATTTTTCTTCTTAAAGAAACACATTTAGTTTGTCCATTAAATGATTTTATTGGTAAAAAGGACGAGAAACAATTTTAATTGCTTATTTGGCTTTTTTTTAAATATTTTTAAAATTTTTAATATTTTTCTTCTTAAAGAAACACATTTTTTTGTCCATTAAAAGATTTTATTGGTAAAAAGGACGAGACACAATTTTAATTGCTTTTTTGGCCTTTTTTTAGATATTTTTAAAATTTTTAATATTTTTGTTCAAAAACACATTTTTTTTGTCGGTGAGCCGCGGCATTGATAAGCGTGCAGTTACCCCCACTGCGCGCCGCGCGCTAGGCGTTTAGTGGTGTTAAATAAATTACCCCCACCACGCGCTATCCACTTGGTGCGCGGGGGTGGCGACCGTAGTCCGCGGCGGGCGGGCGTATCTCGCCGCGCGTTCAGATTCGACGAGCTTTATATATTTATATCTCGAAAACTATTGCGAAGATCGGAAAATAGTAGAGGACTTTTTTGTTCAGTTTTGTCCACACTACCTCCCCACAAGCGGTGTACCATTGAGTATGAGACACCCTGTATATGTGTATCTATATATACTATATACAGGATGTCCCAGAAAGGTCGTATGTCCTTTCACTGGCAGATTCTAGAGAGCATTCTAAGACGAAAACTCTTATACGAAAATGTCAAGGTTATAATACTTTTCAAATTATAACCGATTAAAGTTATCCTATTACGGCGTCTGAAATTCGCGCGCTCAGGCATGGTACATTGCGCGCGCGATTGCGGGGTGCCCTTGTCCATTGATTCACATTTAAATATTGACATAATTGATGCGCTTATCGCAAAAATATCTAATTATCGAAATTGAGTTTCTTATTTGAAAACAATAATGATTTTATAAGTTAATAACGCTTTAAATTTAAAAATCGAATTCTGACAGTTAGCTTACTTTTGCTGTAGGCGTCTCAATTTTTCATACAATAACAAAGAAATCGCTTTTAAGCTTTGTCTCGTTTATTTATAATTATTTTTAATATTAGTATGATATTACAAAATATTAATAAATAAAAGTAAGATGAGAGAAATAGTATTAATTTTAAAAATAACGAAATTTAAGAAAAAGTAAGATAAGAGAAATGGTATTAATTTAAAAAATAATGAAATTTACGGGAACTGTTTGAAGTGACCACCATCGCACTCAATACACAATTGGGCGCGTCGAAGAAATTTTGTTGTAGCACTAATAATCATATTAGGCGTTAAAGTGGCAATGGTTTCAATTATTTTGTCTTCTAATTCTTCGAGATCATCAATCGGTTCTTGGTAAACATATTGTTTTAAGTGACCCCATAAAAAAAAGTTTATAGGATCTAGATCCGGTGATCGGGCAGGCCAATGTGTATTGAGTGCGATGGTAGCCACTTCGAACAGTTCCTGTAACTCTCATTATTTTTAAAATTAATACCATTTCTCTTATCTTTTTTTTAAAATTCATTATTTTTAAAATTAATATCATTTCTTTTATCTTACTTTTAGAGATATTAATCATTTTAAATGATATATATATACACCATATATACATGTATAACTTTGTATATTTCGATGCAACAAACGAATTTTTTGTAGATAATCTTGCCTTAGAAGTAGGAGCAACCGAATAGAAAAAATCGTAAACGCGACAACACTTTTATTTCATGTAACATTGTTTATTAAATGTAAAATTAAATTATACGCCGCATATATAATTATCTCTTATCGGATAATTTAGTTTATTTTTTAATTCCGACTGACGTCTCTTTAATGCGTTTTAACTCTCTTGCTCGCAATTAGGTAATATACAGATAAAAGGTAATCAATTCCAATATGCCTCCATTAAGCTTTGCGAATTTTTCGATGCAATTACGTGGTCCAACACAGAATGATAAATATAAGTAAGAGTAACGATTTCAGATCTTCTTGGGCAAAAATCTATCTGGTTTAAATATCTCTGGATTTTGGCAATTCAGAGAACGCATAACGTGATTATTGCCCTGTGAAGTTCGCGTCAACAAATCTTATACATGTTATTAATTATACATAAAATGTGTCATATTTTTTTACCTTGCTAACATTTGTCTTCTATGACGCTTATTAAATCGGTATTTGATTCAAAGATTTGCATTAAGATTACAGACAGGAACAAATCTTATACGAATTGGATCAGCAGAGCCAAGTACGATACCAACCTCCATTCGAAGATCCTTTAAATAGTTAACGGGCTCCAAGTAAAAATTGTGTATCAGAGAGGCTATCATAGCCTTCATTTCCAACATAGCAAATCGTTGACCTATAATTTAA